GAGAGAGGGAGAGAGAGAGATATCGTTAGTGCCCTCCTGAAGTGTGGTATTAGGGCACAACTTCTGCCTAAAAGGAGCAACTGAGAGAGAGAGAGAGAGAGAGAGAGAGAGAGAGAGAGAGAGAGAGAGAGAGAGAGATATCATTAGTGCCCTCCTGAAGTGTGGTATTAGGGCACAACTTCTGCCTAAAAGGAGCAACTGTGGGTCCAGTAGAATATATTGATCAGCTATAGTATAATCGATTCTCACCTCCTTTAAGTCAGAAAAGCCAGGCACACAGTGGTGGGGTAGCTTGCTAGCTTCTGAAGTGCAGGGGAGAGCTGGCTAAGACTGTGTTCCCCAGGAAGGCCCACAATGAAGCAGCATGGACAGTGCCTACTGCATGTTCTTTTTTCTCCTTCCCCAGTGACAGCGAGAGCAAAACTAACATTGTCAAGGTGATCCGCTCCATTCTGAGAGAGAACTTCAGGCGCCACATAAAGTGTGAATTACCGCTGGAGAAGACGTGTAAAGATCGCCTGGTACCTCTTAAGAACCGAGTTCCTGTTTCGGCCAAATTAGGTGAGAATTCCATTAGCTGTTTTAAAGAAGAAAACATGAGGTTGTAATACAGCTATGAGAACCATGGCCCGTGCCCCAGACATCCTTTCCTTAAATACACCTACCTCCAACCCCACATCCCTTCTGTCAGTGGCCATCTTGTTTCTTCCTCTGAGAAGAACAGGAGTTGGGGGGCTTGGCTTCGCCAGGCCTCCAGGTCAAAACTTAATTCGGATCACAAGGCTGAGTGAACGCATTCTCCTGCTATCATTGCCAGCAGGTCATCAGCCAGGATCTGTTGGTCATCTTTCTGCCTACTTTACAAATTTAGTGTTTTCTTTCTTCTTCTACAATGTAAATTGCTTTCTGGTGGTGCTAAGGATGGAATCCAGGACCTTTTTCTCAACACTAGGTTGGCACTCTACCACCAAGCTACATTCCTGAGATCTTTGTTCTTGTTTGTAATCTTACAGGGCACACATTTTCTCCCTCTCACTCCCCTATTTGATCTCTCTAGAGCTTTATTTTTCTGTTCTGTTGTCAAAATCGTCTATAGCCATCAAAACTAATATGGCGCTAATGGATTATAGGAACATTCAAACTAAGAATTCTCTTTGAACAGAAGCAATCTCTCTCTCTCTCTCTCTCACACACACACGATTAAATGTGCACAATGTTAATTCTCTTAAAGTTGGTTATAAATTTCAGCAATGCTCAAGAGAGATGAGAACATTTTGGAGCATCTAGGGAAATAGGGAAGCTAAGCGTAGAGATATGGTATATTTTCAGATTATAAGGTAACTGTAGTAAAAGAATATAACATAAATTTGTATTAGTGATTAACTATTTGACTTATTAGCAAAGTAGCAATTCTAGCCCTTATGATAGTTGGTACTTCATTATTCTATCTATATGGGCGAAGTTCTGGGAATCTTGAGAGTTTCAGGTATGCCTGGGGGTGTCACTCAGTGGGCACAGTGCTTGCCTGGCATTAGCAAACTCTTCATCTCCAGCATGCATAATCTCAGCACTCAGAGGAAGGGGAGGAGGAGCACAAGTTTAGGGCTGTCCTCAGCTCCATAACGAGTTTGAAGCCAGCCTGGGCTACCAGAGACCCAACAACAAAAGCCCTACAGAAATGAGTCAATTCATTGTTTGACATAACTACATGGGTTGGCCACCTAAATGCCCAGACAGATGACTGAATTCACATAAAATCTTCACATGAGTATCAGAACCCCCAAGGCCCTAACCCTACACTGTCAAATCTGTTTCATAAGGAGAAATGTGCTTTTCTCTCTGTAGCTTCATCCAGGTCTTTGAAGGGCCTCAGGACATCCTCCAGCAGCGAGTGGCCCAGTGAGCCCAGCAAGGGCAACTCACTGGACTCGGATGAGTGCAGCCTGAGCAGTGGCACCCAGAGCAGCGGCTGCCCAGTCGCTGAGAACAGGCAAGACTGTAAGAGCGCCATGCTGGAGAAAGACCCTCCTGAGAGCCTGGCGGAGTTTCCAGATGGTCTCATCAAAGAAAGCGACATTCTGAGTGATGAGGACGAGGACTTCCACCAGCCTCTGAAACAGGGCAGCCCGACTAAGGACATTGAACTTCAGTTTCAGAGACTGAGAATCTCTGAGGAACCCGACATGCAGCAGTCTACCACAGGGCCAGGCGAGCAGCCCCGGCTGGTCAGGGGCCACTTTTGCCCCATTAAACGAAAAGCAAACAGCACCAAGAGGGGCAGAGGAACTCTGCTCAAGGCGCAGACTCGTCACCAGTCCCTTGACAGTCACCCTGAAACTGCCAGCCTCGATCTAAATTTGGTTCTGGAGCGGGAATTCAGTGTCCAGAGTTTAACTTCCGTCGTTCACGAGGAGTGTTTTCACGAAGCACAGAGCCATGGCAAATCATAGGGCCTGGGTGGTGGGTCACAGTGCTCGTTAGGTTTGAAACTGCTGGGAAAACAGAAACTGCGGGGAAACCATCTGTGTTTGGGTTTTATGCAGTATGTATCTTCCCACAAAACTTGTTGTAAAGATTTAAGTTATTTTAATTTATTGTGGATCAGAAAACTAGAGATTAAGTTGGTTAGAATCTGTAAATTACTTAGCTTATATCCCTTTTAAGCAGGAATCAAATGATTTAGTCTTGTAATAAAACTGAATTCTAATTATTTTAAGTTATGTGGGAAAAGTAAGATTGGGAAAGTTGTGATTAATAGCTTTTAAAAGGGTCCCTTCTTCAATCCTCTGGGCATTTTCTTTGAGCTGTTAGTTTTTTGCTTTATTTAAAGCACATTTAAGTTATTTTTATGTGGTTTTAGGGGCACAATGTACAGATATTTCATTTTTGAAGGTTGTAATAAATGCTGTTTATACTAAACATGTCGTATCTATGCAGTGTGTATATTATATATATTAAAGGAAAGCTTGGACTGTATCTACTTGATATTTATTTTCTTAAGTAAGAATGGCATGTAGGTCACTGGCGTTTGTCTTTACAGAGTGATGGAGAAATAAGCACGAATGTAGAGGACCCACACTGTGGGTGTGGAGCCCTCAGGGCAGCAGTCAGGACTCACAGCTTCCTGTGCCATCTTCTTTCTCTTGGCCCTTTCTTCTCTTTCGCGTGAGCTCGTCTCTGAAGTTATAAGTAAAGAGCTGTGGGTCTTCATCACACATTCTTCTGTATACATCACACAGGCTCTTAAAATGCATGAGCGAGAGGTGGGTAGGCCGGAGAGTCGGGTCGACGTCTGCCAACTCTAACAGTCTTCCAGTGCTTTCGAGGCGCTGAGCTTCAGGGAATAACATTCTGAAAGGAAAGTGCGTGGGGGAGTGGGCTTTACTTACGAAACTTAAGGAACATCTTTGTATAAACGTCAAAAGGACACACTGATAGATGTCTGAGGCTGTTGGAGCCTCTTGGGTACCCAAGGACTCTAGACTCACTGGAGGCAAGTCCAAGCTAAGATTTGCAAGGTGTATCCACAAAGGGAAAACTCTCTCTCCAAGCTAAAACAAATGGAAAAGTTTTATTATATTGGTTTTGACTCTCTACACCCTGGATGGATTTAAAGTCTTCAAAGCCCCTTACTCCAGGAGTGACTGGTTTTGCGAAGTGCTAAGTTGTCTGTTACTACCTTTAAAACTCAAAGTGTGCATTTTAAATTTCATTTAATTAAAGAGTGAACTTAGATGCCTCAAACTTGCAGAAGTGTGCCTGGACTTTGACCATGGAGCTCATCCAAAGGGTTTGGCAGAGGCTGAATTCTCCTTCTAGGCTGATGATGACACACACTCCCCAACCTTTAAGGTAAGGTGACTTAGATCATAAGTTCAGTTCTAGGATAAAGAGGGTCTGGCAATTTTTTTTTTAACACCTGGGACTACGTTGTAGTATGGTGTGACTAAAACATAAACAATCATCCTTCAAAGTCAATTTTGGTGTTTGGTCCATGTCTGTATAGAGGAAGGTGGACTGAAATGAATAGGGCCATTATTTAGTTGGGGGGTGTTGCTTTGGAAACAGTAGGACTAGGCTCGGCCAATTAACTCCAGGATTTTTGAAAGTAAGATGTACTTCTTGTGATTCTCACCACCTCGAGTTAGAGCTACTATGTATAGATGTAGGAGTTACACTTAAAAATGGCAGGCTGAGAGTCAACACTCATAATAAAACATCCTGAAAGAGGGCTTCACCAGTTGCACTAGTTTCAGGACACACCTGAAATCATTTCGTGCACTAACCCACACTTCCTCCATCCCTACAGAGAACCTAAATGGGTCTGTGTAAGTCTTAGAAAATAAACACTGTGCACTACAAGCTGAACCCTTTTAAGCAGCGATCTTCTAACTATAATTGTGCCTAACTAAACATCTTGAAACCTGCTAGATAAGAAGTATTTGGTGTAGTCGCTGCAGGGCCATGGCTCAGTCTTACTTTTCTGGAAGGCCCACGTGTTTGTGTGGAACAGTGAGCCTGACAGAACAGAAGAGCTCCCGCTGAGTGGAGGCAGAAGACACTGTGACGACGACGACATGGCTGCTGAGAAGGTACGTCTGTTCTCTAGTGTGTCTGAAGGGAGAGACAGCAACTCAGTACAGACTGAGTCCTGCCTGAGCAGCCAGGGCCCTCCTAGCAGCAAGTCAGCAGAAGCTGTGCACTTGGGGGTTTTTAGGTTGTATTTAGGACCAAACCAAACCTGTATGTGGCATCTAAGGTGAACTCAGGACTTTTCCTCAGTGGTGGCTACATGGTGCTCACCACAGGATCTAAACCAAGAGTCATACATGCCTTTTAAGAGTCATACGTAAAAAGGATTCTTACCCAAGCCCTCGGTGACAGTACTTCCTTCGGAACTGGAACACGTTCTGAACAACTTTCTCTACCAGCTTGAATGGCTGCTTGATCTTGGGCTGTATCAAGGGTGTAAAGTGGACCACTCCTACGTCAACCTTCATTGAGAACAAACATATTACCATATGGCAAAAACGTGACTGAAATTTTTTCCCTTAGTCCTGAGGATCAAACCTAGTGCTTCCTGCATACTTGGCAAGCACTCTAGCTCCGAGCTATGTCCCAGGCCTTAAACAACTTATCTTTGGAAATCATAGGAGCATGGGCTCTCTAGCCATTCCCAGGAACTACTTAGTGTGCTTGTATTTTCTCTGGACACATAAGCAGCAAAGTTTTGGACGGCTGCAAAAATCCCATGGGGCTGCAACTATGATGCATACTGGTGTCCACTAGACCTGTGCCGGATGGTCACTTCATTTTAAACTGTGGAATGACAACAGCCTGTGTAAGCCCATCTGCATGACCGTCAAGGCCAGTAGGCAGGCAGTAGTTGACAGTGGGCATTTTAGCTTTTGGAAACATACAATAAGCTGCAGTAGCAGCTTTGACTGTAGGGCTGGGATCCCCCAAGGACCACTTAGTGCTGAACTCTCCAGAAAGGGATGATTAGGACACCAACTATTTTGAGTACAGATGCTGATTACTCAGCTGAACTGAATTCATATGCGGAGTCCATGCAGCAAAGAACTTTCAGTAGCAACTTTACATGCACCAGGAGGCAGAGGCAGGACTGATAGGGAAGACCGAATTTTTAAAATGTCACTGTTGGACAGTGTTTACACCACTACCAGCTGTTGAGACCACTGAATAACCAGAAGACGAACTTTTCAGGCCTATGTGGTAAAAGTTATTTCCAGTCTTTTTCCAAAAATGGACTCCTGAATGAATCATTACTGTAACACAGGAAAAATGCAAAGTAAAGGCGGGGGGCAGTGGATCAGAGCAATCCTGGTGAGCACCCCCCAGAGGCCCGGCAGACGCCACAGAAGGGGAACCCTCTCACTGAATAAAGCCCTGGCCTCGGCCCCTGCTACCTTGCTCCAGAGGCAAAGAAAGCACAACAATTCGGGCAGCCTGGGCAGTGCTGCTGCGTGTCAAAAGAAGGTCTTATTCTCCAGTCCCTTTCCGGCTATCATTCTCTCAGGTTGAACTGTTTTCCAAATTTCTTGTGGCTCCATAAATGGCCAACAACATATGTTTGTGTGTGTGTGTGGGGGGGGCACACACTGGTTTGTTTTTATGTGGAAAGAAAAATAAGGGGCTAAGATGTAAGACCTGGAGAGCAAAGCATGTGGAGATATGCTCAGCCTCAGGTGAAGGGGCTCCCTGGGAACGGCAGTGGTGTCTCCCACAGTCTGTCAGGCCTTGCCACCCAGTGACCCACACCCCCTCCTCTGCTCTCCATACACAAGCATGACCCCTGCAGCTATACCAACTAGACGTAACTGACAGTAGCTCTTTGACCACAGGGTGGTGTGGGTGGACACACAAGACTGTTCTCAACAAAAGTGAAACTGTCCACGGGAGGGCCTTTCTACACCCGGGAAGGGGAAGTAGAAGAGATCTGCTGGGTAAACTGGGGGTGGGGGGTAGGAACTTGAGGGAGCGGGTTGGAGGCAGGACGGAGGAGGAGAGTAATGCAAGAGACACCTTGATGGAGGGGCATTTTGGGCTTAGGGAGAAACCTGGTGCCAGGGAAACGCCCAGGAATCCTCAAGGATGACCTCTGCTAAGACTCCTAGCAGTAGTGGAGAGGGTGCCTGAACTGGTCATCTACTGTAATCAGATTGGTGACTACCCTAATTGTCATCATAGAACCTTCATCCAGTAACTGATGGAAGCAGATGCAGAGATCCACAGCCAAGCACTGGGCTGAGCTCCTGGAGTCTGGCTGAAGAGAGGGAGGAGGGACTTTATAAGTGGGGGGATGGGTTGGGGTGAAGGGGGAATGTCAAGGTCATGATAGGAACACACAGACAGTTGACCTGAGCTCCTGGAAGCTCACGGACTCTGGACCAACAGTTAGGGAGCCTGCACGGGACCAACCTAGGCCCTCTGCATTTGTGTGACAGTTGTAGAACTTGGTCTGTTTGTAAGGCTCCTAGCAGTGAGACCAGGACTGCCTCTGGCGCCTAGCTGACTTTTGGGAACCTGTTCCCCATGATGGATTATCTCGCCCAGTCTTGCAGGTGGAGGAGTTCAATCCTGCCTCAACGTGATGTGCCATGCTTTGTTCAAGCCCATGGAGATGGAGGAGTGAGGAGGAGTGGATGGGGAGGGGGGGGGGAGGAGGAGGGAGGGAAAACTGTGGTCAGTATGTAAAATAAATGAAAAAAAGTTAAATAAAAAATCCACCGAACTCCAGACCTCTTTGAAGATGATTATGGTGAACAGTTATAAACACTAAGTACAGTATTAAATGTTCTTAACATTCTCTCCCTCACCCTCCTTAATAACCTTTTCAACTAAATAACTTCTCAACTGTGTTCTTTAAGTTGCTTTATCAATTCCTCTTGTTAACATACACTTCCTGTATGACTGTCTTCGGCCTGCACAAAACACACCGAGATGCTTTAGAGAGACTCGTAAAGAGGGAGCTGTGGAGACAGACTGGGGCTTCTAGAACGTAGGTACTGCTACGGGCAGAGAAGGAAGGATGGCTCACTTTTAGGGTACTCCTGGAAGGTAGGAACAAGGTTCTTAAGCTGGGAAAGGAGAAGCTCCTAGATTTACCACAGTGACTATCAAAGAACCATCCGACCTCCCACAAACCCTGACGTGCCCGTCGTCGTCACTCATGTTGATTCTCCAGGGCTGGGAAGGTCCTAGAGCACCTTCTGTACTTCACCGATTGTCATTCTGTGAGGCCCTGTACCCTACATTTGTACCCATTGCATCCCGCCTCGCCTCCCTCTACCACCTTCTGCAGCCATCTCTGAGGTTTCTCACCTGATTCTCCCAAACACACAGTCCACTCTAAGAAGTTCTATTGTGGTCTCAGTGTCAAATCACCTTTCAGCAACAAACAAGTCAAAACTCAACAACAAAACAGCATGAGATAAAATGTAGCCTCCATCCAACCTGGAACTATGAAACAGTGTCAGAACACCGAATGAGGTACAAATGCTGCTAAGATCAAAGGCACACATTTGGGAAAGGATGCTCTGGTCTCCTGGCATGTAGCTGCCACGTATAGCAGTATTTGTGGATTTCATAAATTGGCTTCCTCCTTCCTGCTTAACCTCATCCCTTTACAACACAGTTGTGCTTGCTCTATTTAAATGGACTGAAAATGCTACAGAACTGTAACAGCATCCTATGTAAGCTAGCAGACTTCGAGAGTTTGAGTATTATTCTGGTCTCCAGTCAAGTAGCCGTTGTATTACAGCTGAAGGAAAATTCCCATTCACAAACACAATACTACATGGCAGAACTCTAAACTCACTGAGAGCTCAGCCAGCAACTGTCCTGCTTTGGGAGGATCACTCCTGTTCACCGTCTCTGCTCATTCCTGCAAAAGCATTTCTGGAAATTACTGAGTGATGGAGGCCATTTTTCTCTAAAACCACATAGGAAGTGCGGTTGGTGACTATGGTAACAGATATAAAGTGCTTTTTACTTATAATTGAACACTTATTTAATACAACAACCATTCTTTTTTTTCTATTGAATTTCAAATCTATTGAGTTAGAATAAAACAAAATAAGAAAAAAAGAAATAGAGGAAAGAAAAAAGATACTTGATACACTTAAAATACTCCAGCTTCATTGTGGTCCATTGGTATTGTAGCTGGGTGGGACTGATTGCTACCCGCACTTGGAAGTTTCCATAGTACCTTCTAGTACTATGAAAGCTAGTTTTCACAGGGCGGAGGCTTTCAAGTCAGATGCAGCTTGGGTCCTCCAGGTCTTATTTCTGAAGAGCATGGTGTCTTTAGCAATTAACCTTCAACTTCTGAGAAGCAACCAACGGCAATAGCTTTTATTGTTTTAGGTGTCCCTAAGATGCCCCTAAATAACATCTTTTTTTTTTCTTTTTTTCTTTTTCGAGACAGGGTTTCTCCGTATAGTTCTGGAGCCTGTCCTGGATCTCACTCTGTAGACCAGGCTGGCTTCGAACTCACAGAGATCTGCCTGGCTCTGCCTCCCGAGTGCGGGGATTAAAGGCATGCACCACCACTGCCCGGCTAAATAACATCTTGAAAGGGGTTATCATGCCTGATGCTGAGGTTTTTTTCTTAGATGGTCTATGGCTCTTAGGGGGAGCATGATCAAATCAAGTGGGGTAATTTCACTTGAACTATACACTGATGTTCAGCGTGGCGCGATAACCCCAAGGATGCAGTAGTGGCACTGACACGTTGGTAACCCGCAGCTCTCTGCTTGTATGTAAGACCTGTTCAACGGGAGGGAGATCATGACTGGCACTAGAAACCTAGCCAGCTACTGGGGCCAGTGACATCATGGCTGTCAGAGGACCTACTACCACTGCTCTACTAAACCAGCATGGTTCCTACCTACATTCTAGAGATCCTTATACCCACACTAAGTGTAGATCTCACCCTTCATCAGAGAAATTCCCTTCGCAACAAAGACCACTGCAGCAAACCGTAGCTGGTCAATACGTAAAGAACCAGGAATCTTGGGGTTCCCAGCTCCAAATGACATACACATCTGCAACACAACTCCTGCACCTAAGGCTCAGGGAACATCTCAGGAGAGGGGCAGAAATAACGTAAGAGCCAGAGGACCAGAAGATCTGCTGTGAGACTGTGTCTCCTAGGAATGCCAGGAGACACAATAACATGCTTGCTGAAACAAGGCCTGAAGAAGTGTACTTCCAATAGGCATGTTACCATGGTAGGGAAAATGTTATGGCATCCCACCAACAGATCAAGAACTACAGAATGTCAAGAGCAGGGGAAAACTGGTTATCCAATACCAAGTGGTTAGCCCTGAAATTATATACACATAATCAATGCTTACATGGACTGCGCAGCTTGTATTTTTATATTTAGGTGTACTCACGTGCATGTGGGCATACAAGTGCACTCCCATGCGTGCACACACACGGATATGTAACAGTAACAAGGGAAGAGACATGATTTTGAGAGGGAACAAGAATGGAGGGTGTACAGGAGGAATTAGAGGGAGGAAAGAAAAGGGGTAAATGATATAATTTTAGTCAAATAAAGGAAAAAAAAAGCCCCCTGTGGGGAACCAATGAAGTCCTGAGTGAACGTGTGTAATTGACATGAGCACAGCCATGTCAAGGACCCCAGTGCCTCAGGCTCACAAAGATGACAAAGCCTTCCTCTGGGTCACACTCACAGGAGTGGCAAAGCCTTTTTCAGGTCCAAGTAAGAATGCCATCAACAACTGACCTTTAGCTAAAACCAGTGTGTACAGAAACATAATCAGCCACAGCGTCCTCCTCCCACAGCACTTCAACCTGAAACTGCTCCCTACAGAGACCTCTCAGTGAGATTAGCTAACTGCCTCCCCTTACATAATAAACCTGTCTCCTTACTAATGTTAATATAGAGTGGATGCTAAGATGGTATATTTTTTAATAGACTGAAGATGACCTTGACTACATTGTACATATTCATAGTCAATCAGATTTCCTGACCTCATGAACATGCCTTTCCTTGACTCTATTTCCTGCATAGTTCACCTGCTGCCATTTACTTAGCTGGATCTTGTTTCTTCTAGTACAGCAGCCTCCCAGAGCTGACGTATTTAAATCCAAGTGATAGCCAGGGCACCGTGTCACCCACAAACTCCACCAGAAACAAACTTTCTGATAACTTTCAGGGCATTGCTAGTGGCCTTCGAGGTCCTTATGGATACCCCTCATCTTCAGGGATCCTCAGGTTTCCTCTGCTAGAGCTGGGAACTCTGTTGTTCTCTGAGGCTATTATTCCTGGTTATTAGGAGCATGTGATGAGAAGATAAAAGAAAAATCAGAGTGCTTGATATGCTGCTGTTTATAGATGACTTAGGTGACCGATTCCAGAAAGAAAAAGGGGCCAGGGGTATTAGCTGGGTTAGAATCAATAATCAACACAATGCAGTAAAAGAATCTCACAAAAGTTTTTCTTCGATAAATGAAAATAGATGGGACTACTCTGCCCCAAACAGACTTAGAATGAGTTATAACTACTCTGCCCCAAACAGACTTAGAATGAGTTATAAGTGGAGGTTTAGATGTGAAGTGTGAAGTGCCTATAGAGACAGACAGACAGACACACACAGACACACACTTTCTGCAGTAGTGTTGGAGTGCACGTTGCTTCAAAAGCTGTATTGTACTGGGCCTTGTTTCTAGTCCTACAACTTAGTCCTTTATAACCACAGTTAAGCTACTTCACTCTAACTGGGTTTTCTTATCAGCAAAATATAGACTCCTTTTACCTAACAGGCTGTCTGGAAATTAGATGTTACAGTGCCTTAACCAGTGCATAGTCTCAGCAGTTCAGTTCATAAAGAGTAATGATATTAAAGATCCCAAACCAAAGAATTCCAAAATTACTTGAGAAAGTCTAGTCCTGTTTAAAAATGATTAAATTTTTGATCATTCAAAGGCAATTTATAGCTTCACTAATACTTTATATACTGAAAAGCAATGATGAATTTTTCATTCAACAAATACTTATTAGACCTCACTAGGACCCAGGACCACGCCCAGCTCAGGAGCCCTGGTGTGGTCAGGTGGACAGAAAGCCTTCCCCGTGGCAGGGCTACATTGCCACACTGCCGAGCCTCGGAAAAGCAGAAGAGGTTCTGAGCTCCTGTAAAGTCAGAAAACAAAACAGTTTGCTGAATGAATGCATGTTGTGGACAGAAACGAAGATGACATTTAGGATTTGAGCCTTGCCAAGCGGGAGGAAGTGTCATGTCAGCTTTTACATACACAGAGTACATGTGGGGACGGCAAAGGGGACAGTTTTGCAGATCTTTGAATCCGGTCCCGTCAAGTCAGCAGATGGAAACACAACTGGGGAGTTCAGGAAGAAGGCCTTAGCTAAGGGGGGTAATACTGATCTTGAACGGTCTCTGTGGACTTCAAAGACTTCCCTTTAATATCCACATCGGAAGTTGATAATGCGATGCATTACAGTTCTAAATATGCCCCTCCTTAAGCTTCATTCAGCAGGCTGTCAGGACCAAGAGAAGGTCTTTCCATCTACCTCTCATCTGCATGTTAACAGGCCCTGGTAAGGGGTCAAACAAAGCAGGCCCCGAGCGAGGGTGGCGAGGGTGGCGGCCAGGCTGCTTGGGAATCAACAGTAGTAACAGTGCTGTTCCCACTGGTGCCTACAGTCAACTCTACCCCAGCCAGCATCCACAGAGATCATCTGCACACGTCTGCAAGACCAAGTCTTTACTAAAGGGCATCACAGCTGAAGAGAATCCAGACATTAGACTTCTAAGGGAGAAAAACAGTAACTTGCTAAATGCCAAAGTGGGAGAAGATTAAGCAGATTCAACAGAACACTAGGAAAACCCAAACATTCGAAATATGTTTTTCTATTAACTACTTTTAAAGAAACTGCTAACATCTATCATGTCTTAGCATCTGCGTGTTTCTTGTGCTTTTTCTTTGGCTTTTTTTTTTCTTTCCGTTTTGTCCTATGCTGGTTTGTTTTATTTTTATTTTCACGTCTATTTTTTGCAGATGCCGGTTTGTATTCTAGTGAGAGAAAAAGAAAGGGTGTGGATTAGGGTGGGTGGAGAAGTAGGAATAGTCTGGAGGAGTCAGGGGAGGGGAAGCCATAACTGGAATATACTATATGAAGAAAAAAAACTATTTTCAAAAAAGTTTGAAATTTAAAAATCTAATCAAAAGGTTTCTTTCTTTCTGCCCAATGGCCATGTAATTTATAACTTGTAAAATTAAAATTATTAAGGAAAAAAAAAACCTAAAAGGGCCGAGGGAAATGCACCTGTACAAATGCTCATGGCCCTAGCTGTTACCTGCCATGCTTCACTTATCATTTTGTACAATTTCTTCACATTCTCTGCAGTCTAGCTCACATGGGCCTAAGACTCTCAGGGAAGAGAGAATGTGAGACAGAACACACCTATCTGAGGGTTTACAGACCACATTCTACTCAAATATTAACTAAAAATTTTAAAGAAAAATCTCTTCTGAGTGGTTTTTAAAAGTTAACAATTTTTGGAGTCTTCGTTTCACACAAGGCAACAAGCAACAAAATAAAAATTAAAGTGACAGTCTCAACTATCATTTGCAAAGCACACTCCAGTTAACAATATTTCAGACAAGATTCTCTAACTGAGGACATAAAATTGTATCTTCCAACACTGCTAAAAATTCAAAACTAAATTACAACTATGACTAAAACATAATAGGAAAAGAAAAGGCGGCCTTTTGTGAGCACCCAAAGAATCCCTGCTCTGTACACAGCAGCACAAAAGCATCTTCTGCTTTCAGGTTTCAACAAATCCTGTTGCAACAACTCCCTCCCCTCCCCGCCTCTCCTCTCTGAGAGCGAGAACCTGGTATTTATCTTCTAGCACCGTCAGCGGTTCTCACCTCTCATCTCTGAGTAGCCCTTTATTTGCTATTTTCACTCTAACTTGTGGGCACTTCGTGGGCAATGTTCAGATCTCAGAACCAGCCTCCTACATGTGGCTTCTCCCATCAGACACAGAAGACGTCTGGAGTCAACTCCGTGCAGTTAAGACTGTAAGGGCTCCCAGGAAAAGGTATGGAGAGCTTGTAGACTGTTTTGGCAGCTAAGTACAAAACTCAGAGTATTGCTTCATTTGATTTAGAAGTTACATATGTTAAATATTTTTGGTACGAATGAATCTTTTCTGGAAAACTAGCTTTAAATTTTGAAAAAAAAATCGACAGACTTCCTTTTGGCAAGCAGTTCATAAATCGGACACTTCCAGGTTCTGCTCTCCATGTGATTTGTTCTGGAAATGTGAGTGCTCTCCCTAAAGATTCAAGTCTCTCGCTTTGAGAGCATTTCCTCGTCACTGTTGTCATTACTACAATTGCTGAACTAAGTGTGCCTTGATTCTCCACCAGCCTGAAACTGAGGGAATATGCTATATAAACTTATGCCTGTGGCTGGAGAGGAAGATCCTAAGGGCAAGAGAGAATGCCAGTGCATTTGTATACCTGGAGCGGGACAGTGACCTTCATTTAGAGAACATGTTCTTCTTTAACATGAAATCATCTTCTGCAGGACATGAAATCATCTTCTGCAGAAAGCAAGTGTTGCGCTAACTAGATACAACGTCTTAGTATTTACTTGCTTGTTTAGACTGTCTGCAATTTATTGCTGCCAGGACTTGTTAATTATGACAACAACTGACTGCAGGTCTGCAAGACACGGAAGTGTAGAAAACATTGATGGAAAGAAAAGGGCTATAATGGAAAAGCTGGATAGACTGATCAACATATAAAAATTATCCCAGCAAAGCAAAAGCGAAAGCAAACATCAGGATGATCTTAGGCAGTGTTAGCAGTGATCTCAACTGCTGGAAAACTCCTGGGCTGGAAATGGTCTATGAGACAGTCTCATAGACTGACACCTGAACTCGGCAGCTATTGTGAAACTGTATACACACATGTGCTTGAACTCGGCAGCTATTGTAAAACTGTATACACACGTGCTTGAACTCAGCAGCTGTTATAAAACTGTATACACACATGTGCTTGAACTCGGCAGCTATTGTAAAACTGTATACACACGTGCTTGAACTCAGCAGCTATTATAAAACTGTATACACACATGTGCTTGAACTCGGCAGCTATTGTAAAACTGTATACACACATGTGCTTGAACTCAGCAGCTATTATAAAACTGCATACACATGTGCTTGTCCCCCAAACCTCTGCCCTCTTAAGCTTTTATCTTTCTGTTTTGCTTATAGCGAGGAAATGTGGAAAACAGAAGAAGCAAATTGCCAGCAGCAGACTCGTCGTCCTAAGACCACTGAGGTTTGTACACACACTGAGTCATACGAATGTAAAATCCCAGAGGCTCCTCCTCTAAAATCACGGGACTGACAAACAGAGAACTCAATCTGGGCAGAGGGGTCTCTGATGTCCTAGGACAGGCTTGCATCCACGGCAGGTCTGTGCTTCCACAGGCCCAGATTAGCACCACTTCAGGTGTTTAAGAGGAGCCAACATCAGCATCTTGGTGAGAAGGGAAGCCAGACCACTGTCCCAGCCACACCCTCCGCAGGCCTTTGTTTTCCTGGGGAGCACTGCAGTGGTAAACACAGGGTGACAGGAAGGACAGAGACGAGGCAGCCCTGCAGAAGACCGTGGCATGGATGCTTCCACCTCAGTACACTGACTTGACAAAATGATGTTACTCAGGGTCACAGCTGAGGTTTCCTTCAGCTCTAGGATTCTAAGAAAGTTAGGTCAGCCCAAGGAAGGATAAGAAAAAAGCCAAATGTCTCACTTTCTGGAAGAATACTCAAGTCCAGAGAAAGAACATGAAAGCAGGACCACCTCTAGGCTATTTGGTTTGAAGAGGCTCACAGTGCCATTTGTGATGTGCATGTAAAAGTCATAATAGTCACCGTAGTATATCATTAAAAATTACTTCAGAAAGACAAAAAGTAAAAAAAAAAAAAAAAAAAAAAAAAGCCAATATTGCAGCATTCCCGAGAGCATCATGCTGCTCTCAAAGGAGTCCTATCAGATGGAGCACACAATGGTAGAACAGGAATACAAACATGGTATGAAGAAGCTGTTTTGTGTTTTAAAGCCAGCCACAAAGTATAACAAGGGGTGGGGTACCAGTTTACCTACAGCCAACAATGTGGCTATTTCTGGAGTGGAATTTCAAGATTTTCTGTCACTGCTTCTGAATCATTTATGTAACACGAATCTTTTTTAAAAGGTCTTATCAATAAAAACAAACCTGGAGCCAGGTATTGAGGTGAACACTGCAAGATCAGAGAAACAGAACAAGCCACAGCCAACTTCACCTTGCCAAGTTCTCAGCTGATCTTGTTTCCTCAGACTAGAAGCCTCTTGAGTCCTCATTGGAATGGATCTCAGCTGAACTGTGCTGCTAAAAGCTTAAAAAGGCTCTAGTTCCTGGTCCTCATGCCTTATCTTTCTGCTTCCTGCCATCACTTCCTGGGATTAAAGGTGTGTGTCACCATGCCTGGCTGTTTCCAGTGGCTTTGAACTCTGGATCTCTGCCTCCGGAATGCTAGGATTAAAGGCATGTGCTACCACTGCCTAAACCTTTGTTTAATATAGTGGCTGTTCTGTTCTCTGACTCCAGATAAGTTTATTAGGGTACACAATATACTGGGGGACACAATATCACCACATTTAGGGGAGTCAATTTTGCAGTTGAACACTTCTGGATTATAACTGGGAAGGATTCTGGTTGCAAGTAGAAAGGATAGTACCAGGGACATAAGCTAAACAAATGCTAACGTAGGTAAGAACTGCGCAGGACTCTAAATTCCTTCAACAATATCCTGGGTCACACATGGTGTGTGCTGAATGAAGATTTAATTCAAACCATTTTTCAGTTCTTAAGTTTTCCTATATCTATAAATTATTTGGAGACAAATTTAAGCTATTTAATGTTTTTTGGTTATTTTCATTAAAATTAAAGTTATTTAAAGTGATCTACAATGTTAATAAGGTTCTAGATCAGACATCACAGCTACATTTTGAAGTTTCTCAATGATCTAACAAGGTATATGCCCATTTCACAGACATTTTGAGCATACTTAGGGTCTTATGTGGATAGCTCTACATATGCCATGAATCCAGCCAGCACTGGTTATGATGCTAAACTCAGTAGAATGCTATTCCGCAGGCCTACTTAGGAACCTTTCTGAGATGGCAGCATCCTCATTCACTGTGTGTATGCCTGTGTGTACGTGTGTGTGTGTGTGTGTGTGTATACATGCATCATAGAGACAAGGGTGCTATTCAGGTGTTCTGGCTCCTGTGGGGAGCCTTCGATTACTTATTCTTTTCCTCCCCCAATTCTGCTTCTGCTTTTTCCCTAGCTTTTGTTACCTGGTTCTCAACTGCACAGACCAGCTACTGACCTGACCACGCACCACAATTAACCATTGGGATCTCCTAGGAGAACAGAAGTGAAGAGTAAGAGCATGGCCTCGGCAGGTCTCCAGCTCCTTGCTTTCGTCCTGGCCCTGTCTGGGGTCTCGGGGGTCCTCACCGCCACTCTGCTGCCCACCTGGAAGGTTACCGCAGCTCTAGGCTCCAGCATTGTAACTGCGATTGTACAGGTGCACGGGCTGTGGATGGACTGTACATGGTACAGCACTGGGATGTTCAGCTGCTCTCTGAAATACTCCATCCTGTCTCTACCCATCCATGTGCAGACCGCCAGGGCCACCATGGTCCTGGCCTGCGTTCTGTCTGCTCTGGGGATTTGTACTTCGGTAGTAGGAATGAAATGCACTCACTTAGGAGGGGACACACACACCAAGAGTCAAATTGCTTTTGCTGGAGGAATCTGCTTCATGACTGCAGGGATCTCTGGCTTAATCCCAACAGTGTGGTACACCAAGGAGATCGTAGAAAACTTTCTAGATCGGACCGTTCCAAAAAGCAACAAATATGAACCTGGAGGAGCCGTCTACATCGGGTTCATTTCGGCGATGCTACTACTTATCTCTGGTGTTATTTTCTGCATTTCTTATATAAAAAAGAACCCGAAACCATGGATCTACCCTCCCAAGCCAGAACATACCTCTACCTGGCAGCCAGAGAAGAGGTTAGCTTACAACCTGAAGAATTACGTGTAAAGAGCTGTGCAATGAACATGCAGTGAGGCTTCCGGGACCTGCTAAAACTTTATCAGAATGAAGAAAACAAAACAAAACACTCTTATGCTTAGCTTCCTTTACAAAGAGTACAAAATATCAAAAAAATTGTGAGGTACTTTAAAATGCCAACAAACTACTGTCTACAATTATATCTGTCTTGAATTTCTTTATTTTCCTATTATTGCATTCATGTTTTATTTAAAAGTATATAATTGAAAGAGGCCTGACTATATTAATAAGGTGATGGGTGACAGCATTTATTTATTTTTAAAGATATATTTTAGAATAGTTTTTTGTAGTTATGAAGTATAAAAAGTACCTTCTCTTGGTGTTGATCAAGAATATTGCCTATTTTGCCCTCTGGTGGGCAATGCCTGAGTAGTCTGCATCTGTTTTAAAGCCACAGGATGTGGAGAACACAGCACCAGAACGCACGCAGATGTTGCCACCCCAAGCCCCAGCTTCCACTCTAATTTTTATGTGTGTTATGGTATTATAATATATGCAAACTAAACTTAGGTAGAATGAATGAACTGGTAGACGCTACTGCAGCACACAAAAGCCAATGTAAGCACAAACTAAAATATGGCACTTTTGAAGTACAGCCAACTGATAAGAGCTCCGCTTGCTTTAAATTACCCAAGGCCTGCTCTTTCTTCTGCACCCAGAAAACAGATAAGTTCATTTCTCCAATTGCTTAGATTTACCCCATCCTAATGAATCTCACAGTTAGCACTCTTTGACTCAGTTACTTTTTTTTCCCTTTGAGACAGGGTATTAGATAAGTCACACTGCTTCCTGTGTGCTTAGAGACATGTTCTACTACGCTCAGCTTAGTCACTTTTAAGTTGTACTTTTCCCTCCAATTTTATTCAAGTTAACAAAAACACTGTTGTTCTCTTATAAATGAGCATCTTTGGTTAACAGAAGTAAAATAACTTTTAAAGTATAAAGAATATTTTTAGAATGCTTATAAATTATGACATGTAATTAAAATATTCTAACAAAAATTTGAACTTTTCATAGGTGCAAAGAAACACTGTAGTTTTCTAGTAATCTCCTTGCTAATTTATGCTAAACTGATTGCTTATAATACAACTGCTAAAGGAAGAAGACTGCATTAATGACTGAGGAAGTGGAAAGATGTTTATGTGAATAAATAATCTGCACTTGTGTAAACAAAAAAGACAAAAATACTTCAATTCACTTACTTAGTAGACCTTCATGCTCTGCAACAGTCATGTGGTAATAGAACAGTTGCAGGTAAGTTTGAGGTCTGAGAGATCATGTCCTATGAGGTATCTTCAGTGGAACATACAACAATTCACACTCATATACGTAAACACTCACCTCTGGTTTGGGAACAAAGGCTTTTCCAGGAATTGTAAAGAGGTGCTCAACATTGCAGAGGTACTGGGCCATAATGGAAAGGCGACTGCGCTGCTGGCTTCCTGTAGTGGCTACAAGTCTCTGCAGAAGGCCAAAAGTAAGGTTTAGCAAACAGTTAATCCCATCATTCGACTCTCATTTTTAAAGACAAATTATATATGTATTATCTCACACATACACACACACACACACTCTCTCTTCCATGCTATTTGACATAAACCATGTAGAGTTAGGGAACAAACATCATTAGCTGAGATATGCTGTAGAAATGTCAGTTATATCATGTATAAGCACTGAAAAAAAATCACATAAACAAATTTCTCTACTAGTGACTGTTGGAGATTTTCAAGCTACTGTTATATTCTACAACAGAAAGTCAGATGTAAAACAAACATTTTATAAAGAAATTAGAAATAAAGAGGAACTATAAAGGTGGTTTTAGAAGTACTTCCTTCAGTTTAATAAACCCTTGAAGATTCAAGAACCTTTGAAATACAGATGGTTCTTGACAAATAATTTATGCAAAAATTAGAACTTTTCCTTTTAACCACACACTCATTTTTGAATTGAACTAAGCATGTAACAAATTGATAAATAAAATGCAATTTGCATGAAAATCCCAACCAGATTTTTAAAAAGAACTTCAATTTCATATATAACATATATAAAATTAAACTTCAGATAAAAATTATATAGTATCAAGAATGGTTAAGACACTCCTGAATAATATCAACAATGCTCATGGGAGACTTACCCTACCTGATATCAAAATTAAGGCAGTACTGCTACAAACACAAACAGACCATTAGGACAAAAGACTTAGACACAGACCTAAGCATGTGTGGGTATCTGATACATGAGAGATGTAATTCTCCTAACAAAAGATAAGGACAGACCATTCATTAAATGGTATAGGTGGAATTAAGCATTTACAGGAGAAAAGAAAATTTAATTCAATTAATGATAAATGAAAAAACAAAAGTTAAGTCTTTTTCAAGTAATATCTATGACCCTAAAGTGGAGAAGAATGTCCTAAAAATTGCAAAAACAGAAGCTATGAAAGATGGATAATTTTCTGTTAAAATTTTCTATCAAACACTATCAAGACACATCCCAGATTAAGAATATACTTAGAGGGCCAAAGCATTAGTGTTCACAATACGAGAGATGCCTACACACTAGGCATTAACAAACAGAAGATAAACAACAACCAGAAGATATGACAAGGCAAATCATGGCAGATCAAAGAAATGAATTATAACCATTACCTAAGTTATACTTATAAAAAAGCAGAGATGTGCAAATTAAAACCACAATAATCCATAATTTTACACTCAAAAGGAATACTATAAAAAACTAGTCAAGGATGGAAAGAATTAGAAGCTACAGGGATTCTGTGCATGGCAGTGAGCGTGGAAAAGGCAGAAACTGGTATATAAGGCTGGGTGGTGGTGGTGCACACCTTTAATCCCAGCACTCGGGAGGCAGAGCCAGGGCCAGCCTGGTCTATAGAACGAGATCCAAAACAGGCACCAAAACTACAGAGAAACCCTGTTTTGAAAAACTTTAAAAAAAAAAAAACCAAAATAGTATATAAGTATGCTGGACAATAAGTTATCAATAAAAGCTTAAGTTTTACAGCATATTACTCACACAAAAGAAGATACAGTCCACTGTGGCATTATACACATTATTCAAGAAATGGGAAATTATAATTTCACCAATAGGTAAATAGCTAATAATTTTGCCACTGAATATGAAATAACTGTTAAAATGAGTAACAGGGATTACTGGCATAGGCTACATTCCCCGATAGAGTATAAATTTTTTTAAAGTGGCAAAAACAAGTATGATAATCTTAGGATTTCTGTGTGTGACTACATATACACCTTCAATACAGATAGGTAATATGTGAGAATAGCAACTACCACGTTTAACAGAGTTCAAAATGAAGGAAAGAGGGCCTCAAACATATAAATATAGCATTTGATATTTTGGTAAAGATCGTGGAAAACATGATAAAATTGGGTAAGACTGAGAGTAGTAGACTCAAAGATCACTCATCTTTCTAAAATGTGCCGTGTTTCTGTGTTCTTGAGCTTTGGGGACGTCCCAAAACTCTAGTGAGTGGTTTAGGATCAAGGTCACAAACACTAGTGGAAGCACCCGACGCCAGGACACGCAGGACGTCCACGCTAGGCCATCGTCGGTGCTTCCGGAGCAGGTGCTCTTGGATTGTCTCCCTATTTCACTGACATCAACTAATCTAACAGCTCTTTCCATTGCTGCTTCCAACCTGTCCTGGGCATGAAAAAAGTACAGAATTTGGCTGTTTAGAACTTTACCTAAAGTAAGACTAAAACATAAAACAGACTTTGGGGTGCTGGAAAGATGGTTCAGTGGTTAAAAGCACTTGCTGCTCTTATAGAGGACCCCGGTTTGATTCCAGCATCCAGCTGACAACCACCTGTAACTCCAGTATCAAGAGATTCAGTGGGGGCCTGGGCACTAGGCATGAATGTGGTACATGTACATATATTCAGGCAAAACATTTATACATGTAAAATAACATTGCTCCTCAGAGTAATATAAAAGCAAGAGATGTATATATTCTTAAATAAATCCTACGACCTTGGTCCCCTAAGTGCCTGGATTACAGCACGATCCACTGTGCCCAGTGATAAAAGCGGATCTTTAAAACTAAAATCCAGTAAGAATATAACCATGAGGGCTGGAGAGATAGCTCAGAGGTTAAGAGAACTGGTTGCTCTTCCAGAGGTCCTGAGTTCAATTCCCAGCAACCACATGGTGGCTCACAACCATCTATAATGAGATCTGGTGCTCTCTTCTGGTGTAGAGACAGAACACTGTATACATAATAAATCTTTAAAACAAAAATCTAACTTAATAAAAAAAAGAATATAACCATGAAATTTAAAAATTAACCCAAAGAATTGGCTATCATGGATTTCCTTCCTAAGGCACAGCTAATACGTTACTTTACATTTAGAAGATGTGTTTCTAATGATGAATTCAAAGAATTTAAAAATCACTTTAAAAAGTAAACCTGAAAAGGGTGGAATTATTCTAATTAGACTTCAAGCACAGTTAAATATATTTCACTCTGAGCATGAAGCACTTTGTACAGCCAGAGAGGGGGTGTTCTAATCCAGACTCTAGATCTATTTGGTCTCCATAGCAAATATACCAGATTATGGAGATGAAAATACGAGCCTTAGATTTTAATTTAGAATAAAGCAGCACACAGAACTGCTAATCTATTGAGCAAAAACTAAAGTCATAGTCTAGGGAGCCTGCGAAGACTTTACACTCAAAGGTACCCTGAGAAGTTAATGGCTTAATAACCATTTAAATATGTATTGCCATTTTTGTTTAGACGTAGCATAGGTAAAGCTATGAACACAAAAGTCCATCAGTAGATAATTTTTAACAATAAAAGGCCTGGACACCAAATGAGTTAATTTTTCAGTAAAAGGAAACCACTAAGCCTTGAGTTTTAAAAGTCACTAGTGAGAAAACAAGGCATGGAGAATTCCTAAGAATAATATTTCCTTTACTTCTGTTTCTTTCCTTTACTTCTGTCTATTGCTGTTATTCATCTACAATAATTTTAAGTAGAAAACTCTACTTGAGAAGTTACAGTCTTGGATCAGGGACAATGAACATTATGTCATTAATAGAGTGGTGACATCTTCCCTACTAGGATGTAACTATGACCAGCCAATGTCTTCTGGAAATAGAAGACGACAGGTTGATGTCGGACCCACTTAAAAACCCTTAGGCCAGCAAAATGGAGAACTTGAATCTCACGACTTTACCAGAAAACAGATGACTGGTGTACAAGTTCAAGTGCTGTACAACCTGTGGAAGACAATAAAGCCCTCCAAGCCAGTTCAACTATAGAGTTTAGATGAGATTTGTTAAGCCATTAACTACTGCTACACAGTCTGACTCCATTTTCTGAGCTGTACCACCACTTACATGCCCTTTAATGTGCCCAGGCTGAATCCTTACATCCTATAATCCTAGAGAAAAGAGTAAGAGGAGGGCACTTATTTGATTCTGTTCTGTGGCTAAAATATAGAATATTACGTGCAGGATTGTGTTTCAAAGCAAATAGGATATGTAAGACAATACTGCTGCCCAGTCTTCCCATGAAACTTTCACCTGCAAAAATGTGCAGTCAAAAGGACCAGTGTTACCCACACTTCTAATGCACCCATAAAGTATAGACTTGCTCCCAATTCAATATTCATGTAAAAATTTAACTAAAATAAACCTTTGTTGAAGAAAAATAATTGCCTATGGTGAAGTCAAAACAACACTATCATTAACAACCCCAGCTGCCAGCTGAGTCACTGAAAACATGACTCTACCTCTGAAGGCTCTGCTCCTCCGCTCTTTCCTCAAAGGACTGAGAGACCTCAATGCTTTCAATCGCTATTGTGTTGTATGAGAACAAAATACCAAATAATCACAGCAGTAGAGGGAAAGGAATCCACCAGTGTGCTACAATCACAACTCTGCTTCCTAATAGTGCCTTTCCTGCTTCAGTCCCGTCTGGATTTGATACTCTGTGTTGTTAGCAGTAATTCACTCTTCAACTTCCTCAAACTGGTGTAACTACTCCTTCAATACATGCAAACACGACAGGTATTTGGTCAAATTAATCTGTCTTAACTGATCTGACCTGACCTGAGGGTTCTTTCTTCCTGAGGACTTCCCTGTGTCCCACAGAGCCTGCTGCTCCTAGGACATCTCATAATTTTCCTGATGTCTCTAATCAGAGCAACGCTTTCTGCAGAGTACTACTGATAAGAGACTAGTGAAGGGCAGTTGGTAATAAATGGGGTTGAGATTTATATGCTAACAGTAGTAAAACAGAACTTTTACTATATACAAAAATCAATCTCAAGTGGATTATGGACAGAA